ATTGTTTTGCACTGGCACCATGCTTGTTTTCAAGCCGATGTAATATGCAACAACAACAACAACAACAGCAACGACAAAAACAACAACTGTCGTTGTTTAATCAGTGTGATATGATCATTGTTGGGAAGCAATTTGATGCGATAGTTTAACGAGTTAGTATCTACGTGTTTTTGTTGCACGCTTTTGTGTTATGAACAGCAGACGGGACGCAACTCACAGCAATGAGAAGCAACTTATTAGAACTGAGCATTCCGTGAAGCTTTGTATCAACCAATTTGGGTGCTGTTGGTGACGGGGATGAAGAAGTTTCAATCTTTGAACTCAGTGTTCGGAGAGGTGCATCGAGGTATAGAATGGACTAAGGGCGGATACCGAAATCTCGAAACTTACCTACATTCCTTTGAGTGTTTCGCATTACTTTGATGATTTTCATTTTCGATAATCTAATTCGTTTTTCTTAGTCTGTTGAACTAGCAGGTGTTCTCGTAGTCTCGTGACAGATACCTTTCCAAAGATTCGTCCGGTGCCTTTTCTCTCATAGTATGTATCTTTTCCCTGTATGCGCATTCTCGCATACATCCGATCAAACATACCCGACTGAACGACTCAAAATAATTTAGCCCGATGTACGCGTTCAATTATATACATTCAATTCTTAACCACGCGGTACGATTCATGCCTCTTTTTATTGATCAATCCCTGCTGTTTTTGGTCCGCACTTGGCACGTACGTTGCCTCTTCTTCCGTGTGCCGTTCCGGCTGGTTTGACCCGATCGTAGCGCGAGATACGTCTATCGACAGCTCCGACGTAGTGGCATTCGGTGNNNNGTGTATATCTTTCTGGCTAGCTGCGGCTTGTTTGTCGGGCTGTAATTGTCGGTTCGTTCGTTTCGGGTGGTAGTCAACATTGTCTCTCGAAGTACTTCCAGCAGCTACGTCTGCGCGTCTGGTTGGATGGGCCCCATTCTTGACTCGTTCGCTAACCAGAACTCTCTTTGTACTGCCTTCCATCACACTCACCCCTCCTCTAAAATGATTGCCGCGGGC